GTTCTGGCCAATCAGTAAGCAACAGTGAGAATACAATATTAAAAAACCTGTATTTACCAAAACTCCGCCTGTAGCTCTTCCAGAGTTACTGCCGGTCCCAAGCCCGGGTAAAGGAGGAGGGTTGGGCATGGGGTTAGCGTCCCCATCCCGTAGAAACCTAACTCGCTAAAAAAACGCTAACCAGAAAAAATAACTCAAACCATTTAAACTCTGTCCTGGGAGTTAGAAGGTCTTCATTTAGAAGAGTTATGACACCTCATGATGAAAGCCGAGTTCCTTCGGAAGCCATGAGGCCGATGCCCCTTCTAACAACCAGAGCAACAATTTTTATAGGTACATGGAACGTCCGGACAATGTTGGAGACCGGGAAGACCAGTCAAATAGCAACGGAAATGAGGAGATACAACTTGGCAGTACTGGGAATCAGTGAAACCCATTGGACCCAAGCTGGACAACAAAGGCTAAATACGGGAGAGATGCTGCTATACTCTGGTCACGAAGAGGAAAATGCTCCACACACTCAGGGAGTTGCTCTAATGCTATCCGAAGTAGCACGAAATGCACTTGTAGGATAGGTATCTCACTAAGCTAAATTACTTGATTCAATATTGCGACGGAGAAGCGAAAGCCGCTATACTTCATTGTACTATACTAGAACCAGAGATAGGTTATCGTCAAGCCCTAAAACTTTTAGAGGAAACGTTTGGCTAAAAACACGTTATAGCACGCACGTTTATCGACAACTTGCTAAACTTTCCCATTATAAGAAGGAATCAACCAGATGGTTTGGGAAGACTGTCTCGAGAAATGCAAGCATGTGGTTTGACTCTCGAACAGATAAATTACGTTTCTGATTTGAACTCTTCTAGAACTATCGAAACTATGGTTCTGAAATTACCAACGCACATTCAACAAGAGTGGCTAAAGGTAGCTTATAAGATTATCAGAGGAGGTCGAGAACCTGTGTTTGTCGATCTTGTTGAGTTTGTAAAGGAACAAGCTGATATAGCTAATACTAGATACGGCCTACTTGTCAACCGCGGTAGTAATAGTGACAATAGAGATGTTGGTGTTTTAAAAGGGAGAATTAGCGGAGATTACAATGCAGCAAGGATATCTTACGCGAGTACTAGTGATGACAATGTTGCCTTACGTAGTTTTTCCTGTTTGGAGTGCTCAAGTAATCATTCTTTAGATCAATGTCAAAAGTTTAAAGACAAGAATGTTAGAGAAAGGAAAGAATTCGTCCTTAGACACAAGTTATGTAATGTTTGTCTGAAGGCAAACCACGTAGCGAAAAATTGTCGATCACCAAAGTCGTGTGATGTTGAAGGGTGTGGCTGGAGACACCATACTCTGTTACACGAGAAACGGGAAGAACAAAGAAATACTAATGGTGATGCCTACATTAATACTCAGCTTTGTACGGAGGAAGGCGTTAAGTGTATACAGAGACCAGTAGCATTTGCAGTAGTGCCTGTGTGGATAAAAAATGGTGAGAAGATTATTCAGACTTGCGCCTTTCTAGAGAGCGGGTCAGACACCTCCCTCATAGTTGGTGATCTAGCTGATAAGTTAGGCCTCGAAGGGAAACCGAAAACGGTATCTTTAAAGACTCTTAGTGATGAATCGTCGTTGGTATCCAAAGAAGTCGATATAGAGTTGCACTCGATGGATTTTTCTTCATCCGTTAAGGTCCAGAAAGTATTGACAGTCAACAAATTGCCGGCAGTTTACAGGACTGTACCAACGGCGCATCAAATGGCATCCTGGCCCCATCTAAAAGACATAAGTTTTCCGAGAGTAGAAGATGAGAACGTCAAACTGTTGATTGGGTGCAATGCACCGGGCATACATGAGATGAAAGAGATAAGAACCGGAAAGACGAATGAACCGTCTGCTGTGAGGACTATATTGGGTTGGACGCTGTTCGGCCCATACAGAGAACCCCGTGCAAGCAACTGTGTACCGAATTACCTCTCGGCTAAGGAGGAATTAGAAGATAAGTTTGAACAATTGCATTCAACTGAATTCAAAGACCCATTTAGTCGTACTTCATCGATATCTGTGGAAGATCGCATAGCGTCACCAGAATCGTACAAACCACTGGCTAGTCAGATTCATTGCTCCACCGATGCCTCAGAATCTGCATGTGGTGTTGCGGAGTATGCTCGTTCCGAAAATGTCTCTCGTCAAGTTCATTGCTCCTTTTTATTAACCAAGTACAAGGTTTTTAAGCCTAAGGAAGAGACGGACACCAAACTGAAAGTCAAGACTACAAAAAGACCGAAGGCCACTGTAACAAAGAAACCAGTAACTAAGACTCTGAAGAAGCATACAGCACATATTCGCCGTGGTATCGAGGATGGTGTCGAGAAAGGCGCTCTTGTACGAGTTGTGAATAAGACTAAGGGTTCATCTGGTAGCTTTACAGGAACCAATACTATTCTCAGACAGATCAAGTGTAGTTGCAATCAGAATAAGATAGCAAATGTCCTTTTTGAGAGAGGTTGTGGTGTGCGGGAACACATCATAAGATCAATTAGAAGAATTCCAAGAGTGCCTTTATTTCGAAACGTGTTGATCGATGGAGGTCTACAAACGTTCTTGACCGAGGCAGGAAGGATACTAAATAATAGACCTCTAGTTAAAATAACAGACGATCCCGGTATCCTAGAGGCTCTTACTTGGAATAAGTTGTTGATTTATAAAGGATTATCATTCGACGGTGCTTCGGTGGATAAGACGTTATTATATAATAAAAGATGGAAAGAAGCTCAAAGATTAGCTACCGCATTCTGGAATAGATGGATGAGAGAATATTTACCGACTCTCCAAACAAGAGAAATGGTTGAACGTACACAAAAACTTACAACCGGGTGGCCCAGTTCTTGTTAGTAGCGTCGAAACGAGTAGAGGTCTATGGCCTAAAGCTATTGTTGAACAAGTAAGCTATGGTTCTGACGGTCGAGTTCGTACGGCGAAGTTGAGAACCGCAAACGAAGAAATTGTTCGAGACGTACGAAGCTTATGTCTACTGGAAAAAGCCGGCTATCTAACGGCGACGACGACCCAGAACAATGGACGTGGTGCGCGTTTCGGGGGGAGTGTAAAATGTGATCGATAAATGAACACACCAATGATAAGGTGAAACGCCCACCACCACGTTAACTTTCTTTGACCTTGTATGACTATACCTTTTTTTTTATTTTTATCCACCAATCATAATTTTATGTTCATTATGAAACAATATTCGCTTTGCTGACTCATTTTTCCTATTCTCTGATTACTGTTCGGTATGTTAATCATGTCTCTGTTTTCCCTACGTTAATAGACTGTACTGTTTATTTTGTATACTAACGGTGTGTAATTTATGTTTTAGAAACAGATAAAGTTTATCAGGCCAAATAGCTTACTTGTTCTGACTTTGGCTAAAGCAAGACTCTGTATTCGACAGTTCAGAGAATAGCTTAGTTAACCTGTAGGAAATTGTTTCCTACAGTGGTTTGTGAAATACTGCAACATATTTCAATTTAGTGTGCATTGTTCAGTAAAGTGTGAGTAGTGATAACATATTTCTAACGACGTTATAGCACAGTAGTTAATAGATATTAACCTCGTATATATGGAACAAGTAAATCCTATGGAGTAAACATTTTAACGATGCATAAAAGAGGAGAACTAGCATCACTAATCCACCCCATAGGTAGGGTTTTCTTCATTCCAGACGAAAAGACAGGGAATCGGTGTGACACCACCATCTATAAGGGGTGTCTAGATATTAAAATCCCTATTTAGCAATCATAAACATTCTAAATCATAAAACATAGTCACTCGTCTGTACTTTAAAATACATACAATTTGGCTCTTTACTCATACGTCACTTTGAAAATATCTAGAGTTTCAGACCTCTAGTCATTGAAATGGAAAATACGATATCAAAATCATCTTGAAAAGTACCAGTACACATGGTAGCATACGTATAGACCTTTCGACTTATTTAGTTTACATTGCAATAAAATAAAGTTTTGAGCCACCCAATGATAAGATTTATTGTCAGATACATTAAATGTACAACGACTGTAATACAGGACTGTGATTTTAAGAGAGGATCTTCATGTGTGAAGCGGCAGTGAAATAACCCAACTGTTGAGATCTTCGTATAGCAAAACCGGAGGATAAAGAATCGGGTCAATAGAAATTATGAGGAAGAAGTAATAGTTACTTTGGATTACTAGATATGTTCCCGATTGACAATAAGTATATACGCCAAAAGGGTTACCTACATGATTTATGTAATCCTTTTATTCGGTCCAGAGTGGTATTCGAAACACGACGGAGTTTATCATGATTAGTATTTTATGGCTAAACACGGGAATCAATCCGCAAAACAGCTAAGAAATTAATAAACCAAGAAATAGTAATGTACATACGACAGTGAAGTTAATCAATAGTTGAATGAACCTATATGTGAACCGGATAGTCATCAAATGAAACTAGTTAATCTTAAAACAACCATTGCTATGACAATCAGTCAATCAAATTACTCAAAGAAATGATGGTAAAATTGTAGTGTACACGAATTTATTAGAAAACTTAAAGTAAAACAATGACTAAGAAGTAACTACTGAAACCAAAGAGCGGCGAGCAGCATGCATTGCATTCTCCACAAACTGGAAGATCTACGTAATAATAAATATATTTTTTGTTATATCCCAAAGAGTAGAAAAATTGTATTCCTGACGTTTCATGACTTGATGTAAATAGTACATATTTAAACTTGTGTTAATTTACGTCGGTTGCTTATTTACTCCGAAGAAAGGGCTTACATCAAGTCATGAGACATCAGGAATACAATTTTTCGACTCTGTTATAACTGTGAGAGGGAGAGAGGATTATTGATCGGACCAAAGACGCGTAAAACACGTAAGAACAGCCTAGAGTTCTGATTGGTCCTGCTTCCCTGTCTAGCCCAGCCAGTTGAGTCCAGAACGCAAGTCTCAGCCTCGGTGATATGAATAATTATATTTCAAACATACACTGTTTATATACCAAACAAACAGACTACATCGTACCATAAAATAGAAAGTAACATTTGTACAAGATTTGACCTCCAGAGAATGACACAAATACACTGACCAATAGGGAAATGACACGTTGGAAGAATATTGACCAATGGGGAAATGACATTATTTCTCATTCAGAAAAACCTCAAGTGTAGCTACAGATGTGATGTCTATTGATGTAAATCTTTATGTACCACATACATTTGAATCATTTCTACAATTCCTTTGCATTCCAAAAATCTTTTTATTTCGTCAAGAGTTCTTTAAGAAATCAAGCTCCAATTATAACAGTTAGCATCAGAAACCGTTAAAAGCTTGAGGAAATATACGTATAGTTATGCACAAACGACTGGTAGGATATGAAGAGAATATTCAATATAGTTAGCCTAATCGTTATCTAACTCCGCCTGTAGCTCTCCTAGAGTTACTGCCGGTCCCGAGCCCGGATAAAGGAGGAGGGTTGGGCATGGGGTTAGTGTCCCCATCCCGTAGAAAACTAACTCGCTAAAAAAACGCTAACCAGAAAAAATAACTCAAACCATTTAAACTCTGTCCTGGGAGTTAGAAGGTCTTCATTTAGAAGAGTTATGACACCTCATGATGAAAGCCGAGTTCCTTCGGAAGCCATGAGGCCGATGCCCCTTCTAACAACCAGAGCAACAATTTTTATAGGTACATGGAACGTCCGGACAATGTTGGAGACCGGGAAGACCAGTCAAATAGCAACAGAAATGAGGAGATACAACTTGGCAGTACTGGGAATCAGCGAAACCCATTGGACCCAAGCTGAACAACAAAGGCTAAATACGAAAGAGATGCTGTTATACTCCGGTCAAGAAGAGGAAAATGCCCCACACACTCAGGGAGTTGCTCTAATGCTGTCCAAAGTAGCACAAAATGCACTTGTAGGATGGGAATCTCACGGATCCAGAATCATCAAAGCATCATTCAAAACAAAGAAGGAGAGGATCACAATGAACGTTATCCAATGTTATGCACCCACCAATCATAGCAACGACGACATTAAAGATCGATTCTATGAGAGGCTGCAATCATTCATAGAGAGGTGCCCAAGAAAGGACCTCACCATTCTGATGGGAGATCTAAACGCCAAAGTCGGAATAGACAACACCGGATATGAAGACATCATGGGACTGCATGGACTGGGAGAGAGAAACGAAAACGGGGAAAGATTTGTAAATCTGTGTGCATTCAACGAATTGGTCATAGGCGGCACAATATTTCCACACAAACGTATACACAAAGCTACATGGACCTCACCGGACCACAAGACAGAGAATCAGATAGATCATATTTGCATCAATAAAAAGTTCCGAAGGACAATGGAAGATGTGAGAACCAGGAGAGGAGCGGATATAGCTTCAGATCACCACCTGGTTGTGGCCAATTTAAAACTGAAGCTAAAGAAGAACTGGACAACTGGACAAACAGCGCTGCAAAGGTTCAATACAGCCTTCCTTCGAGATACTGACAAACTCAATGAATTCAAGATAGCTCGCAACAACAGGTTCCAAGCCCTACAGGATCTACTGAAGGAAGAAGAAACTACTATGGAGGATAGCTGGAAAGGTATCAAAGAAACATTAACTTCAACGTGTCAAGAGGTTCTGGGCTCCAAGAAACATCACAAGGAATGGATCTTTATAGAAACACTGGACAGGATCAAAGAAAGAACAAGAAGACAGCAATTAACAACAGTCGAACAAGAGCAGAGAAAGTCCAAGCACAAGCTGAATATATAGAAGCAAATAAGCAAGTGAAGAGGAGCATTAGAGCCGACAAGCAGAAATACGTGGAAGAACTAGCAACGACGGCGGAGAAAGCTGCAGGATAAGGGAATAGGAAACAGCTTTTTGATACAGCAAAGAAACTAGCAGGGGAATATAGTAAACCAGAAAGACCAGTCAAAGACCAAGAAGGAAGACTGATCACTGAGACTCAACAACAGCGGAACAGATGGGCAGAGTACTTCGAGAAACTCCTGAATAGGCCGGCTCCAATGAATCCACCGGACATCGAAGCATCACACACAGATCTTCCTATAAATGTCAATCCACCAACGACGGAAGAAATCAGAATGGCCGTCAGACAAATCAAGAGCGGGAAAGCAACAGGACCCGACAATATACCAGCGGAAGCGCTGAAGTCAGACATCGAAGTAATTACAAACAAGCTTCATCTTCTATTCAAGAATATTTGGGAGTAGGAACAAGTGCCGATGAACTGGAAAGAAGGACACCTCATCAAGATTCCAAAGAAAGGAGATCTGAGCAAGTGTGAAAATTACAGAGGCATTACACTACTGTCAGTACCAGGAAAAGTCTTTAACAGAGTGTTACTGAACAGGATGAAAGACGCAGTTGACGCTCAACTTCGAGATCAACAAGCTGGATTCCGCAAGGATCGGTCGTGCACAGACCAGATTGCGACACTACGGATCATCGTCGAACAATCAATTGAGTAGAACTCATCACTGTACGTCAACTTCATTGATTATGAGAAGGCATTTGACAGTGTAGATAGGAGAACGTTATGGAAAATTCTTTGACACTACGGAGTACCTGAGAAGATTGTCAATATTATCCGGAACTCATACGATGGACTACAGTGCAAAGTAGTGCATGAAGGACAGTTGACAGACGCATTCCAAGTAAGGACCGGAGTAAGACAAGGCTGTCTACTCTCTCCCTTCCTGTTTCTTGTGGTGGTCGACTGGATTATGAAGACCTCGACATCTGAGAGAAACTACGGCATACGATGGACAGCTCAGAACCAATTAGACGACTTGGACTTCACAGATGACCTAGCGCTCCGATCCAATTTACACGAACAAATGCAGACAAAGACAGCCAGCATAGCAGCAGTCTCTGCATCAGTAGGCCTCAAAATACACAAAGGGAAAACCAAGGTCCTCAAACACAACACTCTTGATGGCGAAACTCTGGAAGATGTGGAATCCTTCACATATCTGGGAAGCATCGTCGATAAACAAAGAGGTTCAGATGCAGACGTAAAAGCGAGGATTGGCAAAGCAAGGACAGCATTCCTTCAATTAAAGAACATATGGAACTCAAAACAATTTTCAACCAATATCAAAGTCAGAATCTTCAATACGAACGTCGAGGCAGTTCTACTGTACGGAGCTGAAACTTGGAGAACTACAACAACCACCATCAAGAAGGTACAGGTATTTATTAATAGCTGTCTACGCATGATACTCAACATCCATTGGCCGGATACCATCAGCAACAGCCTTTTGTGGGAGAGAACCAACCAGCTTCCAGCTGAAGAGGAGATTAGGAAAAGACGCTGGAAATGGATAGGACATACATTGAGGAAATCATCAGACTGCACTACGAGGCAAGCGCTAACTTGGAATCCTGAACGAAAGCGGAAAAGAGGAAGGCCAAAGAACACATTACGTCGGGAAATAGAAGCAGATATGAAAAAGATGAATAAGAACTGGAAAGAGCTTGAAAGGATTGCCCAGGACAGGGTTGGATGGAGAATGCTGGTAAGCAGCCTATGCTCCTTCACGAGGAGTAACGGGCGAAAGTAAGTAATCGTTATCTGAATCGATAATAGAAAGCTAATTGAGACGAACTTATATAGATAACTACATACTGTAGAATAAACAGGCAGAGAGACTAGTTTTAGTAGCTGTTCATTTCCCTTCAGAATTCGAGCTTTAGTTAAATAACCGAATAATGAAACCTAAGTATGCCAAAGGTACTCGGAGTTTGACAACAGCTTTACACGTAACACCATAATCAAAGTATACCTACCCAGTCAGAAGTCGGAAATGGAGAGGTTCGAAGATATTTGGGGTTTTACAACGCTTTGACCAGTAACACCTAATATGAATCGTACCCACCAAGTAAAATCGAAAGACAGAAGCAAGGAGGTTCGAAGATATACTTGATAGGCTATCAATATATGGAGGATCTTCTGATCTAATCTAACTAGCGATTGCAGGGGATGTTGAGCACAGCGTTCCCACTAGTGATCTGGTGAGGATGCATGACCGAGCGCCTTTGCTAGGTGTGCCCAGAAAAGCTAAGGAAATCAGTATCAGTGTCGAAGACTTACAAAACTATTTATTTTGGGGATTTGTTTACCGTCACAAACCGTCTGTTACATTGTACATAGATATCTAAAAATTTGAAGAGTCCACTGAGAATCCCAAACTCTATGGACGTACAAATGAAATTAAGGATACCAAAATTTGGATTTTGGCGCGAAACTCCTCCATCCATATGATTTAACAGCATTTTGGCATTATGATTGCTGTTAGTAAGTGATGAAAACTATATTATTTCATAACCTTGAATTTTAACTCTGTCCTAGTCTATACATTCCTATTCCTTACATTAATTTATAACTCTCTTTGAACCCTAGTAAGTCAGTGAGTTGTCTCAAAGCCACTTCAGAGTCACTTAAAGGTAGTCCATAAACTAGTCCTACCAAAACACGCAGTGCGAATAATGAATAAAAAAATTCAACAAATTACTACGCCCTCTTACTACAAATGCATATATATATATATATATATATATATATATATATATAGTAGAAATTCTGTTTCTTTATACCATTTTTTGCAACTATCCTTTATTATAACAATTTAATGGATATAAGTTCCAACTTATACTCGAGTCCTGAGAACCTCAAGCTAAGTTAAAATATAATAGTCTTTCCCCTACATTTCTCTCCATTTCGCCAACATATCACCAGTTTTTTGCTTATGTGGCCACAACGCAATGCTTCGCGTCCATAACGATTGAGCAGTTAGTCTCTTTTGACATGGAAAAGCTTAATGGAATTCGAAGACAAAAAAATGAGTGTAAAGTCGATTTTATCCTATTTCAGTAATTATTAACACGAGCTAAGTGTCAAAACCATATGGTGTTTCTACGCATTAGCGTAAACATGTCCCATGTATCTTTCTGCTTGGTAACCTACAATCTTTTGACAATTGTCACGTCGACGTTAATCTAGCAGCTATTATTTGCGTTCGCGCCACGCTGTCTGTTATTTTGCACGAATCCACGATTTTAAAGTGCTAAGACAGCTACAATCATATGATAAAAGTAAATATAGATTACGGATAACGTATCCATAGGCCGTTTCGGAAACCGCTGGCATGAGAAAGTCAACACGCTTTGAACAAATTGAGTGATGAAAACGTCAAAGCGATGTACAAAAATTTCTGAAATTTATAAGAACTCTTAAATATTGGTTTTCAAATGAATTCATAGTGAAAATGTATTCTATAACTCACAGCCCCGAAGATGACAGCCAACCGTTAAATTCGAATAAAACACAAGAATGATAATGAAAGACCTTGAGTTGGTCAATCAGACTGCGTATCACTGAAACAAATACTATCAATTAAACATATTTTGCAGAAATGTTAGAATTGAAAAATACTTTTCTTTAAATTCAGGTCCTGAAGTATAATATCCGTTCAATATTTAGCAAAAGATCCGGCGTTTCACAATCCGATAATCAATATTCGATCACGGGCTCTCATAAACCGATTGTTTTCCGTTGGCCCACCACTTGGTGCTTCAGTACGTTTACAAATCCATAAATATATTCAATAAGTGGTAGCCGAACTGCTTTACTGTACTGATAATAGTCAGTTTGGTAGTTATTTGTGGACTTTTATATCTTGAAATTTAAGTCGGACATAAATCACTCTATTTTATAAGATAAATAGAAGGTATATCATGATGATAATGGCAGTCTGTAATGCGACACAGTCGGCTCAATCTAGTAGTTGTTTGACGACGAAGATTCGTTTCTATACTTTCTCACTCAAAGATGAAAAATACGTAACGAGACACATAACTTCTTGGAATTACAGAATCTGCTGATTTCAGAGCTCATGTACAGTAAATACATCTTTCCATATTTCGGTCAGTGCACTCCATATGTCTGTGGAATCTGTTATTCAACTTGGTGTGGTTGAAAGGTATACAAATACCACTTCGTTCAGTGATCTTATCTCACCTATGAAATATGTGAGATGTCCATCTCTCAAACAAGTTTCTTTTACAAAAAATTTGTAAGTATGCCCAATAACCATCAGGTTGCTTTTGGTTTCCAGCTGTCTTCTGTGACGGTTTGCTGAGATTCTGGGACGGCGTGTTGAAGTCTTCAGCTGGTGGTTGTGGTATCATCTGTAATATCCCATCTCTTCGGTGGTCAGAACCTGTGAAATGCCAGTGTAGTCTTACACCAAATATTTTGTGCCGTTCACGCAGAAGCAAAAACAGTATGATTCTGCCATCTCGTTTAATTTCGTACCATGTTTTTTAGGGGCATTGAACTAGGTGTTAATATATTTCGCCACCCCACCTCCCGTTTTGTGTGCCCTATCACATCGGAAGTGTCATTCCTTGAATGTTCACTTCGTTATCCATGATGTCAGATTAGATCCATGTGTCATTTAGAACTATGATCTTGAGATCCAACTAAAAGCACATGCTATTGAACACTTCTAACGAACCTATTAGTCTTCTTACGTTGTTGAAGAGAATCTTAAAGGTTTGTCACATCACCTGGTGCTCCTGTACAACAGTATATCTTTCGTGCCTATAGGTAGCCCTCGTGTTATTAATAGAAGAAACCAGACTCGTAGGAAAATAGGTCTTTATTATGATCTTCGCGCAGTCACAGTAGAGCGTGGGATTCCTTATTCAGACAAACAAAACTTCCGTAGGAACCTATTAACAAAAGCATTTTAGTTCTGTTTCCGCAGCCCAAGGTAGAATTATCAACTTGCTCACTATGACTTCAAATCAATGACGACTAACTCCTTCGGTAGTCGACGATAGTCCGTGGATTTCTCTTCATTTGCCAGCTTGCCATCTTATTTTGTAGCATGCAAAACAGACCTCACAACATACAATATAAGATAATTAGAAATATAACACCTAAACAAAATAAAGAAGTGAATAAATATCTGAACTATGCTGTTTTGACATATGCTTAGTTGCCTCAGATCAACTCTTAACCAATCAACCTAAGCTGTTACATAACTTCTGGTTATTGCACTAGTCGATGTTCACTGTGTATTGGCCATTTCTTTGAGACCAGGTCATCGCGGGTTTTTGCCTGTACAGCATGTATCATTTGCGCGACCTTGGTGTCCTGTACTGTTTGTTGGTGATCGACGCCAACTGACACTAAAGTTTGGGAAAGTACCTGGGTTTTGCGCTCTCTGATTTGCAATCATTTGAGGATTGCTTCAAAGAGCATGGTATTTATGTTTTGATTGTATGCTCAAGTCGGGGTGACTTGGCGTACCTAATATTTCACCTGACATTATCACATCATTTCTTATTCTTGCTCAGAGGGAATAATCGCGTGTCGTAATCTATCTTCTCAAGATTCATTTTTTAACAACTCAACCCATTTAGTTGTTCTTTTCTGTACTTGATCCGCGAGAGTTACGTTTATTTTGAAGAGACAGGGCACAACAGCATTTTAGACATCAAGTTGAATCTTTGAGTATGTTCTTGACAATGTCGGGAGAAGTTCTGGAGTGCTTTGTCCAAGTTGTCTTTGCATGAAGTGAAAGATTGTATTTTTCTTGGCGTTAATGACGTGATATTTCGACAGGCCATTTTTGTGAGATCCTTCTGAAGCTCAAATGAACGCCAGAATCCTGGGGTATTCCATATAAATTCAATACTTTGTTAGCAATAAGCTAACTAATTTCATAACTAAATCCTCCATATCTCATTGATCAGATAACTATCCTGTCAAACCATTCGGGTGTATTTTATGAAGAGTAATAAAGATACTCAGAGGCAACTAAGGGAACACATCGTACGTAGAAGAGAGCTAATGCCGCGGTTAACTAAGTTTATAACTACTACATAGTGAAACCACTTATCCGAAACAAATATTCTATGCAGACTGTTCCTGTTAGACACAACATATCTGCGTGTATCATACTTTTACCAGAAGGAATAGATTAACACAGCAAGTAAGCGAATATTATGTCGATGAATATTGTCCTGGAACACAAGGGTATTGTCAAGTTACAACAGACTTGTTCTGAAAGCAGCTACAGATATATATATATAACCTGTAACTTAGAGATTGACCTAGTTTCCGACTGACTTTGGAGAATATGCATGCCGGTTTCGTTCACCGATATTTGGTTTTCATCTCTCGCCAATGGTTTCGAAGTGATCACCACTCAAACTCAAGGTGGGAATTGACAAATTTAATTGATGAATATAAATTCTAGATGGCTTATAGTACTATTTCTTGTGGGATACTACTTTGATAAACCTCTGTTCACGAAGTGCCTATAACTCAAGCGTTTCTTTCCGGATTGCTAGTATGTTTACTGAGACTGGACACTTATGAAAAAACGGAACATCATGTTCATCCAACCATGCCCGTTCTTGTATCTGGTTATCTGATGAGAGCAGTGACGTAACGCCTCAGGCTTGTTTGGCTGCTTTTTACTTAGTTCGTCCTCAAGATAGTCCCTCATCTGATTTTAGCCTTACGATTGCTCGAGTGGCAGGTGAGAATGTACCTGGTGGTCGGACAGGGCTTGGAAATATCATACACTGCAGATAGAGCGTTGAGTAGCACAGTCAGTAAGCTGACTGACATGTTTTTCTCTAATCCAAAAGGCTTATTCAGAGAATGGTTTGGTCTACCACATTGAGGAAGTCAGCTTCGGATTTAAAGGCATGTCCTAATTTATTGTTCCCACCGCCTGGAGGAGTGTCGTCCCAAACAAATGATGGAAGGCAGACATCACACCAATTTTCGAGGGATGTCGACGCAATGATCTTTCAAATTACTGGGTGGAGGCTTCTGTTTGAATATACCCAAAGTTTGGGGAACCCCTGGTTTACTGTGGCCTAGGTGACCGTGTACAAAGCTAAAGGTTTTATTATCAGCGACAGTAACGTTTCAGGAATGGGTACTACAGGATCATGAATCGTCAGACTATGATGGGAAATGAGCCACGATCCTCAATCATATAGGCAAGTTGGATGTCAGATATTCTGGCCTCTCAAAAACTCTTAACAGAATCAAGTCTTATAATTTGGCTTGAGTTGATAGACATTAAGTCAGGATCAAAAGATTGATTTGAATCTTATCTTTGTAATCGTCTTTATAAAGTATTAATAAGCTTCAAATTTTCACAGGCAATAAAATGCATCGGTGTGTTCTCGAAGGGTTAATTATTAGGATCTTTCCTCGATTAATCCTCTTGAATTAATTTCCTCGCCACGTGCCCTCTGAAATACTAGTTTTTTCGGAGGATGTTAAGATGTAGAGAACCCCTTCAATCTGTAGATCTTCATCCACTAAAATAATTCCAATTCAGGGGCGACCTTTTGACGACTTACAGTGTCTTAAGCTCTCGTGGGCATTTGACATACATTCTCACGTTCATTTGCAATATGGTCTTACAGGAAAGCACTCAGAAATGAGAAGTACAACTCAACAAACTGGGATAAAGTCTCGCCTTCTATTCATTGGATCTGTCAAGTCTTGAAATTTGCCAGTGAGGAAGAGATGAAGTCAGGTTTCAGGAGTGTTTAAGAAGGAAATTTACTACATTCATAAGGGCTTTGCACATTATTTCATTTTAATTTCTCAACATCTGTAATTCTCTCGTTCAATGTGACTAGGTCCTGATTGAATGCTACTTAATACGAAAGCTCGGTAAATGTAAGCCTTTCCTATTCTATCCACAACCATTTAAATCGTTTGAAATGCATTCATTAGTGAAACATTAACGCAGAAAAGTTGACCATCATATTTCAGCTAAGAAAGACTTGCGATCATTCTGTACCATTAAGATACAGGAAAAAATTCATTTGCTCTATTCTAGCTGGCAATGTGGGTGATTCTGCTGTATAGTACACCGCTCAGCGTGATGTTCTCTGATATGCAACGGTCTACGTGACTACTTAATATCCATAAACCTCTTCCCCCCCCAAAAAGCACAATTTCAGAATAGGTCACTCTTGTATAACCAATCTACTGACCGCGGTGGACAGAAAAGCATCCTTGATCGCAAGGGGAAGGTGGATGTCATATACCTTGGCTTCTCCAAAGCTTTTAATAGGGTCAATTACATATATATATATATATATATAATCAACAAACTTCAACAGCTAGTCTAATTTCAACACAAACCTAAATGGTAACACCCAGAAATTAGAGATACAACACAGAAGAACGAACTGTAGACACACCTTCTACTCCTTAAGAGTAGACAAATGTTGGAATTCATTGCCGGTTGAGTTATTCTAAGCTACTTCCAAGGAGTCCTTTAAGAGAAAACTTGACATGTTCTTAAGGATTGAGGACAGTATCTCACTATGATTTACCAACGTTTTTCTTTTTCCTCTTTTATTGCTAATATACCTAGGTTCCTACTTGGAGGCATCAGCGAAACACTGCTACTAGATACGGAAGCCCGTTAAGCGAAAGCTTCTTCTATTACGTTCAGAACCATTTGTATCAGCACTGAGCAAACGCCTTTATAGGCGCTTTGATCAGAAAGGAACGTTACGTGGGACTCACTGTCAGTCGCGATAGTGTTCTTAAGGTATGTCGATTCTCTCTTAGAAATTTTAATATACCGTAATTGAACATCTATGTTTTACATGTCTAGTCATCTCAGTGTATATTCGGCACATATGGTAGAAAAGATTTAGACTTGTAAATTGTTGAGGGACAAATACTATATAATTCATTAGTATGTAGACGAGGGTCTAAACAAAGTTCTTTACTTACTTACGCCTGTTACTCCCAATGGAGCATAGGCCGCCGACCAGCATTCTCCAACCCACTCTGTCCTGGGCCTTCTTTTCTAGTTCCATCCAATTCTTGTTCATTTTTCTCATATCTATCTCCATTTCTCGGCGTAATGTATTCTTTGGTCTTCCTCTCCTCCTTCGACTTTGAGGATTCCATATGAGGGCTTGTCTTGTGACGCAGTTCGGTGCTTTCCTCAATGTGTGTCCTATCCACTTCCAGCGCTTCTTCCTGATTTCTTCCTCCACTGGGATCTGATTTGTTCTCTCCCACAGTAGGTTGTTGCTTATAGTGTCCGGCCAACGGATCTGAAGTATTTTGCGTAGACAACTGTTAATAAACACCTGTATATTTTGGACGATGGATTTCGTAGTTTTCCAGGTTTCGGCCCCATACAGTAGAACTGTCTTGACATTTGTATTGAAAATTCAGACTTTGGTGTTGGTTGACAGACAGTTGTTATGAGTTCCAGAAGTTGTTCAGTTGTAAATATGCTGCTCTTGCTTTGCCAATCCGTGCCTTCACATCTGCATCAGATCCACCGTGTTCATCGATGATACTGCCCAAATATGTAAAGGTTTTTACATCTTCCAAAGCTTCTCCGTCAATTGTGATTGGATTGGTACATGCTGTGTTGTATCGAAGAATCTTGCTTTTCCCTTTGTGTATATTGAGACCTATTGCTGCTGAGGCTGCAGCTACACTGGTTGTCTTCTCCTGCATTTGTTGTTGCGTATGCGATAGAAGAGCTAGATCATCCAATTGCTTCCTAGCTATCCTCTGTATCCCGTGCTTCCCTTCAGATGTTGATGTCTTCATGATCCAGTCGATCACCAGGAGAAAGAGAAAGGGTGAGAGTAAGCAACCTTGCCTGACACCGGTCTTTACTTCGAACGACTTTGTCAACTGTCCTCCATGAACGATTTTGCAGTTTAATCCATCATAGGAATTCTGTATGATATTGACTATCTTCTGAGGCACGCCGTAGTGTCGAAGAAGCTTCCATAGGGTTGTTCTGTCCACGCTATCAAATGCTTAAACAAAGTTCTTTATTTCCTGCTTTTACTTAAACAGTAATGTTCCCACTTAACTGACTTTCTATTGCTCATATATGCTTAACTTGTCTTCATTTTTAATCGTAGTTGAATTTCCCACAAACTATTTCCCCTTACGTATTTCATTTTAGAAGCGTTAAAACTCCAGTCTAGTTTAAGCCATTCCCCAGAATTCTGGTCCAGTATGTGCTATTATGCGTCAAATGTCTCAGTATAACAAGATGTGTTTAATGTATATTTGTCTTGAGTTAATTTTTAATCAAAGTAATGTTTTATACATTAGTTTCTACATTTTCATCCGTCTTTTTGTCGCTTCCTTAGTTCTCAGTAACTAAGTATTCCTGTTAACTGTTCTCGTTTTCTTATGCTAGTGAAAAATAAAACAATCTTAAAGTATATGTATCCCAACATTCAAATTGCTCGTTGTTCCTATCTGAATTAAATTATGTAAATCATATTCCCAGAACGGCTTCGAAAAGGCACTTAGGGCACTATACCTCAACCCAAATAAGTTTAGTCAAAACAAACTTAAAGAATAGACAGGAATAAGATAAGTGGATGTTTTGCTAAAAGATTCTTAACATTTAAGGGAAACCTGAGTGCAAATTCACAACTTCCTGTGTAAATGTATGTTTACAACTCACTTTGCATATACACAGTACCGAGGTGCTTTGTTTATAATCAGTGACAGCAAAGTTATGAACAGTAATCAATTAGATTCCATGTTAATAGGGTTTAACAATTACTTATGGTAAAATACAATAACTCACTTCTGTTTAAATTATGTACTTCTGTTATCTAGGAGAACAGTGGAAGTCTAGCGCTTGTATCACTCACCCTAGAAAACAGAGCCTCCAAAGTTCCCTTCTCGAGCTCTCATCGTATTCGTTGTTCTCTTCTGCTATGTTTAGGACTGTCTAACGAACTCCTAAGTTAGCTATTCATTCAAGCGTTGCAGTACAATATTGATGTGCGAGATATGGACGGTTTTTGTCAGGACATTGTCACTAGTATGTAATTCACATCGATCGGATAAGAGTTACAATGCTTGGGTTCAAGATAAGAACCTATTTCTTCACCTTCATGGTACTACTTAGTTTGAGTAATTAATTGTAATGAAGTTTTATCCTTATGATTATATGAGTAGACGTATCTGCCTAGTTTTGCTATGTACCTTGTTAACAGTAGAGTTGGTTGTTTTTTGATAACGGAAGGAATCTAATGCTGGAACACGATACCAGATCACGTAGTACATAAATTGGTCAATTATCCGACCAATAATTAAGAACTAGATTTGGTCTACTGAGATTTTATAAACACGATATACAAGCAGTTAGAAACTAGTAAGATCAGAGTAGGATCACTTCTTTAGATAAAATGATTTGATTTAGTATAGCTGGACGTCCAATTTCGCTCATTGGACAACCACATCTTTTGACACACCATTCTGGTTTATTTCAGTAACATTTAAAATTGTAGAACATTCGAGTTTTCTATGTTTTATGACAGATTCCGGAACACTAGGTGATGTCAGTCCAAACTCTAGTGACTAAAAAGCGAAAGGAGTTTATTGGACTCCCAGCACCCTTGGGATATGCTGCTGGTATAGGACGTGGTGCTGTAGCGTTTACTACAAGATCTGATATTGGTCCAGCCCGTGAAGCTAATGATGTTTCAGATGAACGACATGTCGCTCCATCTAAACGTCGAAAGGAGCAGGAAGAGGAAGAGGAGGACCTGAACGATTCAAATTATGATGAGGTAAAGATCTGTCGGTTATACTTTTGGAATACTTTTTGTACTGTTCTACACATGGTTGTTTCCGTCATTATTTCTATACGTAAGAAACATATGAACAATTTGTAGCTATATGAATATCTGTACACAGCAGAAAATATCAAATATTTTGCCTCCGCTTATGATTGAATTTTAACTTGCATTAAATAATTGTTTGGTAATGCTATTTTATGAATTATTTTGTTGGCCAAAATGTAGGTGTTGAACATGTCAAGTTTTAACATCTCCCGGATGTTTGGCTTTAAGGAGTTATTGAAATTTAGGAGAATGTTTATTATCACTATTATAAGGTAAGAGTTAGACACTGAAGTCCTTCAAAATGTCAAGTAAACAAAAACTCGACACTTGTACTAGGTTTACTAATTAAAATAAGATAAAAAAATAAAACCAAACGATACCCATTGAAAATCCGGTGTTTATCAATTGGTCCTTTCTAACCTACTTTTCGCTGTCTCACATTAATCCCACTTTCATTTTCTACAGTTAATTGGCCTGGGCACTCGGTTTTTAATCCTGTTTAATTATTTATATTCATTCCATTTGCTGAAGCTTTGGAAAATGTAGCACTATCAATTTTTACATTATAACTGCACTCCACAGGAGAAAAGTGTTTTTTTGTGGGCAATAAATTTAGTTTGTATTCTTATACCCTATTTCACTGTCACCTCTGTTTATTTGGAATCCCCTCAACTGCTTTCTGTACTTTTCGGCTCATAGGAAATTTGTGTATTTCTAACGTAATTACGCGGAAAAAATAACTTATTTATTTATTTGAACACATAAACGCTGGTACAAGGGGTCACTAGATACATATGTACCACAAAAATCTCATCTGATTCGTGTGATGCTGCCCGGGTGCCCAAACCTAAGCGGGTGGTTTTCTTGGGCCACACCCGGAGCCTTCGACCTAAAGGTCTGATCCACAAGGCAGTGGGGCATCGTAAGTAGATGCAGTCCCATGGTAGCCGGTGACCAACGATTTGTCCATACGTCATTTGTTCCCTCAGGATCCTGGAGCCCATGTACACCATTGATTTTGAATCATGGTTTTCCAGTTGCTCTAGGTGGACTGTGTCCACCAACACGGTTAGAGTGCCGGACATTAGCTTTTCGTCCTCCCAATTTCGTGAACAACACCCCCACGACGAGAAGGAAGTTAGTAAGGCTTCCCTGGCAGATTGTTATATTTCTCTCTTACAGTTATAACCTAGCTATTCGTATTTCTTAGTATTCACGGACACCAATTCACTCGACAAGTCCCCAAATCAGAACACGGTTGAACAGGAAAGAGATGATATTCCAAATAACAAGGTTAGATGGAAGTGAAAAGCACAATAGGAAAACCGTTAGTATATTTATAGTTTTTACATGAAAATATTTCTAGAGTATTCTCCAAGTATCGACTAGCTCTGACTGGACAAGAATTAGCCAATCAGCGTGAGCCAAAGCAATCATGCATTGAGCATGCTTTAATCCAATCTATTTCCCGCTAACACAGAAGCTATATACGCGTGGCCAGGTGAGAGCTTTTTGAGCGAAAACAACTATGTAGTTTACAATGCAATAAATTATTTCACTGAATATCTTTTGGAGTTATCGAAGTCAACTTTGAAGTTAAACGACTTGTCGAATAAAAGATAGATTAATGTGCACGTTTATTCAAAACTTTTCCAAGTCTTCCTTTATTCAAAATTTCAAAGTTCCCGAGGAATAATGAGTTTTTTGTAATAAATAATAAAGGGTTGGATGTATAATAATGATAAAATGGTGTTGACGACCTAGTTTGCCTGACTCAATCTAACTAATTCTCAGTAGTAAAAAGTGCAAAATAATGCCATGAAATACAATTCATCTATTAGGTAAGTGATTACACTTTTGATATGGTAAGATGTTAACAGATCGTATATTCGACACTCCCATTTCACCTGTTCCTGAGCCACACACGTTTAGTTACTAGTGTAACACTAGGTGAAACCTGTCTACCAGCCTAATACTCCATACTTATGTATCCGTCTTTAGGTTAAACAGTATCTTTTTTATTATTTTACATTTAGTTTACAGGCTATGGTGGTAGTTTGTGCGCTAAGGATCCTTATGAGAAGGATGATCAGGAAGCAGATGCTATCTATGCTTCTATTGATGATAGGATGGATGAAAGACGGCGGGAGTACAGAGAAAAACGTTTTCGCGAAGAGATCGAAAAGTATCGTCGCGAAAGACCGAAGATTCAACAACAGTTCATGGATTTGAAGCGTGATTTAGCGAGTGTATCTGAAAGTGAATGGAATGCTCTACCGGAAGTTGGTGATTCACGAAATAGGAAGCAGAGAAACCCTAGATATGAACGTTTCACTCCGATCCCAGATAGCATAATTGCAAAAGGCTTGTCTGATGGTCAAGTAAGTCATCTTATAATTCTATTTCAACTCTTCTGTTTTAGACCAATGTTTCTGTAGATGTAATTGAACAAAGTTTAGGAGGCTTAACTACACCGTTTACTTCACAAACAGCTCAAATGGACATTGATATGAAGAAAATTGGTGAAGCGCGTACTTCTTTGATGGATATAAAGCTGACACAGGTACATTTCTTTCTATTAAATACTAAAAAGTCTCATTTCATTCTTAACTTTATCTATTTTAAAATATCCAGCAATACCAAATTATAGCCGTGTAATCTATAATGGAGTCCGAAATACACATTACTTACCACTGAGTGCATTAGCTGGGTATATCAGCAAATAAGTTCCACAAAAATGAACACAAAACTACAACCTTTCCGTAAAGCACATAACTTTACACGTCAAAAACAGTTGCGCTTACTCGCGAGTACTAATATTCATGTATTTATGTCATCAATAATAAGGTTATTGTGGCCGTTACACCGGTAAGAAAATATCACCACTAGTTTTTTTAAACATATTACGTAAGTTCTATATGTCTGCGTATGGTTGCATACTTTATAGAAATAATTTATAAAGAAATGTTTTAGGAATTTTATTTATTCGCTTGAACACGTAAATATTGGTACAAAAGGGCACCGAATACATATGCGCCACACAAGTCACTTGATTTGTGTGTAGGCTGTGATACTGCCCGGGTACCCAAAACGAAGAATCGTTATTGTACTTCCCATTGATCTTCGTTCTTTGCAGACATTGATTAACAGTCTTAAGTAATGCTTTGAATCTATTATAGACAGTTAGTAGGCGAATAGGGAAAACCAGTTGATGAGACTGGAAGTCTTGAGTGACTGATGTTTTTGGGTTGTGTTACGTAACCTCAGCAACCGACTACATCGCCACCTAGTATTAGCTGGTGTCGGAGTTGGAAGAAAACCAGAGGCGACTAAACCAAAGCATGTCACTCGTCCATGAAGTCATTCAATGTTGATCTAAGAAATATTGGTAGGTAAGGACTATCCGGCTAGGGTTTGCGCGATAATCGCAATCAGCTATTTGAGACGTTAAATAAAGTAGCTCACAATTAGTCACAGTGGCCTAGATACAATCACCCTTTATCTCCTCTTAGATCATGAACTTCAATATTATTTCACGCTTTCCATTTCTCGGATACAGATCTTTTTTGAACCGTATTCTCCAATGTTTGATCCTTCTTACCTTTACTTAGACGTCATCGCTTTTCATTTTGTTGATTTCCCTTCACTGTGGTGATGTGATATAGGTACTTAGAATCATACACAATTTTGCTAGTTTATTATTATTATTGTTTTTTTTTTATTTTAACACATAAGTATAGGTACAGGGAGGCACCAAATACATATGCGCCACACAAATCTCATTTGATTTGTGTGAGGGCTGTGATACTGCCCGGGTGCCCAGACCAAAGCAGGTGATTTTCTTAGGGGGCCACACCTCGAGCCTTTGGGGTCCGGTTAAAGCGCCGGACATTCGCTTTTCGTCCTCTCATTTTCGTAAACAACACCCCCGCCACGAGAAGGCAGTGAGTAGGACTTTCCTGGCAGAGGCTATATACGCATGGCTATGTGAGAGCATTTCGAGGAGAGCGGACTCTCCCCACTCTCGGCCGTACCAGGGCATTTGCTAGGCTCTATGCTGATTACGACTTGTTGTGATGCCTTATAAATTATTTCAATCCATTTGTAACTAGGTTTCTGATAGTGTATCAGGACAAACTGTTGTTGATCCTAAAGGGTATTTAACTGACCTACAGTCTATGATTCCTCAACATGGTGGTGATATAAACGACATGAAAAAAGCTCGACTCTTATTAAAATCGGTACGCGAAACTAATCCTAAACATGCTCCTGCTTGGATTGCATCTGCTCGTTTAGAAGAAATAGCTGGTAAACTCCAGGTTAGTTTAGTCATAAACTGATCTAATATTTAGCCATTTTATAAACTTTCATATACTCAACTTATTAGGTTTATCATTTCGTCATGTAATTAATGTGGTATATTCTATAGATACTTGGTCAGTGGACAATTTCAGTAATTCATCAGATGGTATACTGACCAGATCACGTTTTAACTCATATTCTGTCATCCTGTATTTGATGAAGAACATAACACATTAATCGAGTGTAAGTTTTGTATTCAGTTTCAAGGAAGATTTTTATGTGGTTAGTGGTACTACTTGTTTCCCCAAAACAAAGTAAACGGAGCCGGGTTCAAACCTGTAGCACCAAACCACCTCTCCAATTTTTGAGAGCTTTCATTCAAATAGTCTCTGCTGATGCCATCTCTAATGTCTTTGGAAATCCCGAAATTACATTGTTCATTATAGGAAACTTGACATCAAAGAAGTCTGTACTACATTCTGTAATCCTTGGTGTATGATCCATATTTTAAACTAGATAACAGGGTATTTTAACGAAGCATTGGTTTATTTCAAGCAAAAATACTGATAACAAGCGTTAGCTAGAATGAATTTAATAAAAAAATATGAATGCTGAAATATATTCAAGTTGACCTGAAAACTTATTAAGAAGCTGTACAATTGAGATATATTTGTTGGCAGTTTTCAGTGTGATGTCCATGTAGTCTTCTGTACGATACCACATGAGCTTGAGCCCAATTTATCCAACATCAAAAATATAAATTTAATCACTGAGCTGTTTAGTCCCCAACGGATCTTACCTAGCACCAAACATTTTTGTCAGTCGACCATTATGTAGTAACTATTTTCATTAATTACTTACGTCAGCCTGTTACCCTTCATGGAACATAGGCCGCTGACCAGCATTCTTTAAGCAACCTTGTCCTGAGCCTTCCTTTCTAGTTTTATTCGATTTTTGTTCGTTCTTCTCAAATCTGTGTTCTTTAGTCTTCCTCTTCTCTTTTGGCCTTAAGGATTCTAAGTGAGGGCTTGGCTTGTGACGTGGTTGGGTGATTTCCTAAATGTGTGTTCTATCCACTTCTAGAGCTTCTTCCTGATTTCTTCCTCCACTGGGATCTGGTTTGTTCTCTCCCACAGTAGGCTGTTGCTGATAGAGCCTGGCCAACGGGTCTGAAGTATTTCGCGTAGATAACTGTTAATAAACACATATCTTCTGGATGATGGCTTTCGTGATTCTCCAAGTTTCCACCCCATACAGTAGTACTATCTTGACATTTGTATTGAAAATTCTGACTCTGGTGTTGGTCGATAGTTGTTTTGAGTTCCAGATGTTCTTCAATTGTTAATATGCTGCTCTTGCTTTGTCGATCCGCACCTTCACATCTGCATCAAATCCACCGTGTTCATCAATGATGCTGCCCAGATATGTAAAGGTTTTTACATCTCCCAAAGCTTCTCCGTCCAGTGTGATTCGATTGGTGCATACTGTGTTGTATTGGAGAATCTTGCTTTTCCCTTAGTGTATGTTGAGACCTATTGCTGCTGAGGCTGCTGCTACACTGGTCGTCTTTTCCTGCATTTGTTGTTGCGTGGGCGATAGAAGAGCCAGATCATATGTGAAGTCTTTATCGTCCAGCTGCATCCTAGCTATCCACTGTATCCCATTTTAACCCCCAGATGTTGACGTCTTCATGATCTAGTCGATCACTAGGAGAAAGAGAAAGGGTGAGAGTAAGCAACCTTGCCTGATACTGGTCTTTACTTCGAACGAGTTTGTCAACTGTCCTCCATGAACGATTTTGCAGTTTAATCCATCATAGGAATTCTGTATGATGTTAATTATCTCAGGCACACGTAATGTCGAAGGAGCCTCTATAGTGTTGCCCTGTCCACGCTATCAAATGCTTTTTCGTAGTCGATGAAGTTGATATAGAGTGATGAATTCCACTCAATTGATCGTACCACAATGATCCGTAATGTTGCGATTTGGTTTGTACATGATCGATCCTTACGGAATCTTGCCTGTTGGTCTCGAAGTTGGGCATCTACGGAGTCCTTCATTCTGTTTAACAATACCCTGTTGAAGACTTTTCCTGGTATTGAGAGAAGAGTGATGCCCTTGTAATTATCACCCTTGCTGAGATCGCCCTTCTTTGGTATCTTGATCAAGTGTCCTTCTTTCCAGTCTGTTGGTCCTTGTTCTTCATCTCAAATCTTTCTGAAGAGAATATGAAGTATCTTTTCAGTTACTGCTACATCCGCTTTCAGTGCCTCTGCTGGAATGTCGTCTGGTCCTGCTGCTTTGCCACAATTGATTTGTCTGATCTCTTCAATTGTTGGTGGGCCAACATCGATTGGGAGGTCTGTGGATGCTGCTTCGATGTTGGGTGGGTTCAGTAGAGCTAGTCGATTCAAGAGTTCTTTGAAGTGTTCTACTCACCTGTTTCGTTGTTCTTCAATGTTGGTGATTACTTTGCCTTCCTTGATTTCCACTGGCCATTCTGATTTACGATAATTTTCGGCGAGTTCCGTTGTTGTATCATACAATTCTCATGTTTCCTTCTCTTGCAGCCTTTTCCGCCGTCACTACTAAATCTTCCATATATTTACGTTTGTCAGTTCTGATGCTCCTCTTCACTTGCTTGTTTACTTGTGTGTATTCAGCTTGTGCATTGGCCTTCTCTGCTCTTGGTCGGCTGGTATTGATTGCTGCATTCCTGTTCCTCCTTTCTTGAATCATATCCAGTGTATCAACAGTGATCCATTATTTGTGATGGTGCTTCTTTTGGCCCAGAACCCCATGACATGTTGAAGTGATTGCCTCCTAGATCCCCTTCCAGTTGCTCTCATTTGAGTAGATCGTGAAAGTTCTGGAACCTATTGCTGATAGCTATCTTGAATTCGTTGAGTTTGTTAGTATCCCGAATAAGAGTCGTTTTAAACTTTTGTGATGTTGTCCTCCCCGTTGTTCAGTGTTTCTTGAGTTTCAATTTCATCTTGGCGAACAGCACGTGATGATCTGAGGCTATATCAGCTCTTCTCTTGATTCTCACATCCTCCATTGTCTTCTTGAACGTTTTATTGATGCAGCTATGCTCGATTTGATCCTGTGTAGTGTGACCCAGTGAAATCCATGTGGCTTTGTGTACGCGTTTATTTGGGAATATAGTGCCGCCTATGACCAGTTTATTGAAGGCACATAGGTTCGCAAATCTCTCACCATTTTCGTTCCTTTCTCCCAGTCCGTGTCGTTCCATGATCTCTTCATATCCGGTGTTGTCCATTCCAACCTTGGCATTTGAATCTCCCATCAGAATGGTAGGGTCCTTTGTTGGGCACTTCTCGACGATTGACTGCAGCCTATCGTAGAATGGATCTTTAGCGTCTTCATTGTAGTCTTTGGTAGGCGCGTAGCATTGGATGACGTTCATTGTAATCCCCGTTTTCTTTGTTTTGAAGGAGGCTTTGATGATCCTTGGTCCATGAGATTCCTATCCTATAAGTGCATTTTGTGTTTGTTTGGACAGCATCAATGCAACTCCTTGTGTATGTGGGGCATTTTCTTCTTCATGTCCGAAGTATAACAGAAGCTCGCCTGAAGCTAGTCGTTGTTGTCCAACTTGCGTCCAATGTGCTTCACTGATCCCAAGCACCTCTATGTTGTATCTCCTTATTTCTGCAGCAATTTGGAAGAATCTCCCAGTTTCCCACATTGTACGAGCATTCCATGTACCTAAATAAATGGTTGCTCTGGTTGTCAGAAGGGGCATCGGCCTCGTTACTTCCGAAGGAACTCGGCTTTCATTATGAGGCGTCATAACTGTTCTAAACGAAGACCTCCTGACTCCCAGGGCAGAGTTTAAATGGTTTGAATAATTTTTCCTGGTTAGCGTTTTTTAGCGAGTTAGTTTTCTACGGGATGGGGTCGCTAAATCCATGCCCGACCCTGCTCCTTTATCCGGGCTTGGGACAGGCAGTAGCCTCAAAGGGGCTCTAGGCGGGGCCCCTCATAATTCCACTTTTTAAGTGTACTTTTAATTGAAACTAATTTCAGGTCATTAGTTTATTTCTTTTTTTTTATATAATCAACTATCTGAGGATACCTTCACAAATAAACCTGGAACTTACATTACGTTAATTAAAGATAGGTAATAATTGAAATTAGATGAAGCTCATAATGTAGCTGAATCCGGTTAAGTTACCTTATAAACTCGCTTGATCCTACAGCTATAAGAGTCGTTCACACGATATCTATAGTTTCATGACTGATTACATGTAAGTTTATATCGAAACACGTCTGTCCGCCGAAATTCAACTGTGAAAACAAGTTAATCTAATAAATGCTTCGCGTTCAAAACTGCAAACATAATAAGCACTTAGTAATTATATATTAATATTATTTACATACATACACAACTACTACTTTATTCATACATAATTATTTGTACCGGTATATTATTTTCCTTAACAAGCGCGATTTTCTAAACTCATCGTATTGATTTCACATTATTTAATTGTGCGATTAAAACTATGTACTGGTAACTTTTATCCTGTCTGTATAGCTTATAAACCTCTTTAATTTTCTGTGAAATAAAGGTTGCGCGCAACTTAATTCTTAGTGGGTGTGAAGAATGCCCTAAATCCGAAGATATTTGGCTAGAAGCAGCACGCTTAGTACCACCCGAACAAGCAAAATCTGTTGTAGCTCAAGCTATACGCCATTTACCTCAGTCGGTCCGCTTATGGGTAAAAGCAGCCGACTTAGAAACAGAGCATAAAGCCAAAAAAGTTGTATTTAAAAAGGGTAGGTTTCCAGATATTTTGTTACTATAAACAGCTTTTGTTTTTTAAACTATAATAAAATTGAGTAGTCAGTTTTATTTTTGTATGTTTGGCTTCGAGCTACACTTGTACAAATGCTAGAAGATTACCCGCCTATTGAAAGTGAGATAAGTTATACAGGATCCAATCCTATAGATGTTTAAATCATAAAGCACCATTTGTTTGGTGAAAAAATAATCAATGGATTCATTACAACAATCGGAATTTTCTGTCCATTTCGATGGTGTCTTAGGACTGGTCCCTCAGTCCCTAAACTAATGATAGGACGTGAAGTAGTTCGGCGTGTAGATCACTTCACTTATATTGGAAGTCTCATCATCCTTAGTATGTTAATGTCTGACGAAGTCTGAGCACGAGTTCAGAAAGCTCAGTTGGACTTTCCCTAATTATATCACGTGTGTCCTAAGAGAGACAACCGTTTGCCAACTAAAAATGAGTAGGCTGAGCACCAATCCACTCTCTTATACTTTATGGCCAAGAAGAATGGCCTTTAAAAATAGAATATTTGTAGGTTACTGGTATCCTACCATAGATGTCCTCGGACCATTGTTTGTATATTTTGGGACCACCAAGTCGGAAATTCTGACGTTAGAGGCAGAGTACTGGGTAAGGATGGCAAATTCGTTTATGAAGTAGTGAAACTTTATCGACACAGATGGTTAGGATATACATTACATACGACCGTCCAACGCCTACTTCGATACGGGATGGTGACTGGCAGAAAGTTAGAAGCGACCAAACCAAGGTATGGCATCATCCCATGAAGATATTAACTGTTGGGCTGACCCATGTAAGTAGGTGCAGACTACTTGGTTGGTGTCTGCATGAATATTGTAACCAATGGTTGAAGACTGTGTGTGAAATGGCTCAGAATCAATCGTAATGACACAGGTGCTTTCTCTTTGATTCTAAGTTTCTAAACTACTTTGTAGATCTTTTTCACCATCACACTAATCTATATTTTCTCTTATGATATCGTCTATGCCTAATCTTTTCTACCATTATTAATACTGCTATTATATCTACTATTTTGGGATTCGGTCTGACAGTTTCATTTCACCGTTCTAACGGCGTGTGGTAACTTGGACCGATGTACGCATGTTCCAGGTTCTACGTTGTGTTTGACTGACTCCTGAGGAAATAACTGCAATTTTTTGAGAAAATATGACTGGCTACCGTCACGAATTGTTACCAGCTAGCGAGTCAGGAAAAAGTAAACGACTTGATAGTTGTTACATTATAATTGGAGACTTCTTTGACGTATCCGATTACGATATCATGCTGTATAAAACACTAAGGACGTTCAGATCTTGCTGTTTGCGCGTTATCGTTTAGCCACTAAGATATAATACAACAGTCCACACTATATAGCAGTTAAGCCGTCATCTATAATGTCACTAACTCACTAATGGCGGGTGAAGGTTTAGTCATATCAAAAATAGAATAAAGTTAAAACTATGTCCCATTGGATTTCAACCCAGTACCCGAATGGTATCGTTTTCACCATAATACGTGAATGTTTCAGGCCCTAATATTTGTAAGGTTGCCAGTGTGCAAGGAGTCTCAAACTAGGGCAAATGATTGTTCCGTACTTCCTGATTTTCAGTGGTACTCCATTTATTGTCATTTCGTAAGGAATATGGCTCTCACTGTGCACGTAGCTTCCACAAAACCTCTTATATAAAAAATATTGTGAAATTGTGGAGCTTTGTAATAAGTAAATAATGTAAGTATCTTAATGTTAAGTTTATCAGTTATAAAAACAATAGTACACGAGAATCTATCTAACTATTTGGATAATTATATACGTTTTCACCGGTGACAAATACATTGCACAAAACAAGCGTAATTTGTTTATGAAATTTAATCCGAAAAAGTATTTTAACTATTCTACTAAACCAGAAATAACGCGAAAACTATTCATGGTTGTTGCTCAAAAACTAACCGTAGATCATAAATTCTACTTACAAGCTCCATGTTTCTTTCGAATTCAAAGTTAAAGTTTTTAAATATAAGGGATTAATGAAGGATTAGTCACACTTTCAGCTTTTTTTTACATGAACACAGCAGCTATGGACTCGTTTTACTAAATCGTTGTGCGAAATTTTCATAAGCATCCATTTTAAAATTGGTGGATTTGTTTTTCTTCACATTTTCAATTCAGCATTAGAACAAGTTCCGAACTCTGTAAGGTTGTGGAAATTGGCAGTTGAATTAGAGGATGAAGATGATGCCCGACTAATGTTATCTTTAGCCGTTGAATGTTGTCCAACGTCTGTTGAATTATGGCTTGCATTAGCTCGTCTGGAAACTTATGAACAAGCTAGAGTTGTTTTGAATAAAGCTCGCGAAAGCATTCCTACAGACAGACAAATTTGGTTTGCAGCCACTCGTTTAGAGGAGGCTCAAGGAAACCAGAATATGGTACAGAAAATTGTTGATCGTGGTGTCGCATCTTTACAGGCAAATATGGTTGAAATTAATCGTGACCAGTGGATTAAAGATGCAGAGGAATGTGAAAAAGCTAAAAGTGTTCTTACCGCTCAAGCTATAATGTAGGTTTTTTAACTGATTTTTGTACACAACTAGCTTTCTTAATCCTGAATTATAAAACTTAGTAAACTTTATCTTGTTATGGTTATTCGTTAGTTTTGAATTAGTATGTGATTCTTAGTTAAGTGAATGAGATAATACAGATATTCACTTTTGTATAAGACCAATTATTACAGCTTTGATTCGTGACCTTCGCTCAATTTTGTCGTTTTCAGGGGGACCCTATTTAGTAACATTTATCATCCTTATTTCTTTTTCAACCATCAATGAGGAATTTAGTATTCTTCGTTTCCTTAATTACTTGGGGCAGCATTACTTATTGGGGAGTAATAAGTAAACCAATCGTCAGACAGTCACTGAAGTAAGACATTAGTTATTAGTACTATTTATTTATTTACACACATAAACATTCGTACAAATGGCCATCAAAATATGTATGCCCCACACAAATCACTGAAGTTGCGTGTGGACTTGGATACTACCCTACTGTCCAGATCAAAGCAGGAGGTTTTTTGAGGCCCTCTCCCCCGACCTTTAGCCCAAAAGTCTCATCCACATGGCAGTGGAACAACGTTAGGAGATGCAGTCCCATGGTAAGCGGTGATTGAGAATAGTTTCATACTCCGTTCTCTTACTTTAGATCATGGAACCCATGTTCACCATTACTTTAGAATCAGGGTTTTTCAACTCCCCCCAGGTGGATCCTCCGTGCTCACTAACGCCGTTAAAGACTCGGACATTCGCTTTTCATTTTCTCGATTTCGTAAACAACGCCCACTACTTTAAATGCTCTTTGTTGAAATACCCTCACATGGCCACACGTATACAGCCACTATCAGGGAAGTCCTACTTACTGTCTTCTCCCGGCACATCTCCAAGGGGATGTACTGGGTTTCCTGCTAATTAGAAAAAGTATTTTCAAAAAATCCGCCTCAACTTAATTATGATTTGATAAAGTTTATACATCTTACTCTTTGAACAAAAATTTGTATGTATTCTATTATCTTTGTTGTTGTTTTTAGTAAAGCTATTATAGGATATGGCTTAGAAGAACAAGATAAAAAGCATACATGGTTGTCGGATGCAGAGAATTGTGCTACTAGCGGTGCAATAGAATGTGCTCGTGCTATTTATGCTGTAGCATTGGCTCATTTTCCTACAAAAAAAAGTATTTGGCTACGTGCTGCGTATTTTGAACGAAATCATGGAACAAGGTAAATAGTCTCTAATATTACTAATCGAATTATTTTATTTTATGTAAATAATATTTTTTCTCCGAAAGTAAGTGAAATTATGCAATTAATTTCGTCAGAATAAACTTCAGTACCAGCTAGGTATTACATACCAAAGAGTATTTATTATTTGGACTGGTTGTACTACCGTCGTAAATGTGCACGCAAGCTGGAATAAAGTCAGAAGATTGTGCTAGCTTCTCAAAATATAGGGTTATATATGTGTGCGGTCGTCCAGTAAATAAAATGTAGTTTCAGCTACAAAGTACATTCATAATGGTAAAGCCAATAGTCTATGTTAAATACAAGTATGAACATATGACCGTATAAATAATAATTACATCAATCAATAAAAAGCGATTTTAGTTAACCAATAAAATAACAGCGAGGAAGTAGTGTAGTAAATTATGCTCGCTCATAGGTTTTCAGCTCGAAGAATTTCTTATAGTTATCAGATATAGCTGCTACTCTCAATTTAGCAGATTTGCAACGTCCTATGACTCGTGTTTGGTTAAACATCGTAGATTTATACATAGCCTGTTACTTCAGAATGTTGTTGCTTATGTAGAACACTTTCGGAATCATGGTTTGATAACTTTTTTGAATGGAGTTTTCTTATTCTCTAGTTCTATTTAAATATCCACTGTTAACCTCTTGTTTTTTTCGAAACTGATTCGTCTGTTAAAAGCGATGACTAGGACAGAACAATCAGCAGTGTAGAGAATTGTAGACTCGAACCTAGTCCACTCGATTTTAGTTTAGGTAATCAAGTATCAGGTTATGATTACTAAGTCAATTTTAGTATACATACATATGTTTAGTTATTGAGTCATATTTATAATTGGTTCGCTTTATTATTATTATTATTATTATTATTATTACTATTATTGTTATTATTATTATTGTTATTACTATTGTTATTATCATTATTGTTATTGTTATTATTATTATTATTATTGTTATCATTATTATTGTTATTATTATTATCGTTAGTGTTTTTTCCCTATATACTGCACAGATTTTTTACTATATCTCTAATTATTAAACAGAGAAACTTTAGAAGAACTTTTGCGTCAAGCTGTTAGTCATTGTCCTCAAGCAGAAGTGCTTTGGCTTATGGCAGCAAAGACACGCTGGCTTGCAGTAAGTATATTTATTTATCCTTTGCACTATCGTTTCGTTATTATGGATAACTTATAGAAAACTGATATGTAGATTAAAATTACTGATTGGATTTCATTTGTAATACCACATCTTTCTTACTACGTAATGTGATGATTTTAAACATGCTTATCGCCTGTTGTTAAAGTTATATAGACTGCATATTCCACGTAACATGATAAAGCCCCCAAATGCCCTGGTACGACCGAGAGTGGAGAGAGTCCGCTCTCCTCGAAATGCTCTCACATAGCCATGCGTATATAGCCTCTGCCAGGAAAGTCCTACTCACTGCCTTCTCGTGGCGGGGGTGTTGTTTACGAAAATGAGAGGACGAAAAGCGAATGTCCGGCGCTTTAACCGGATCCCAAACCAATGGTGCACATGGGCTCCAGTATCTTGAAGGAACAAATGGCGTATGAACCAATCGTTGGTCACCGGCCACTATGGGACTGCATCTCCTTACGATGCTCCACTGCCTTGTAGATCAGATCTTCAGGTCGAAGGCTCGGGGTGTGGCTCCCTATGAAAACCACCTGCTTCGGTTTGGGCACCCGAGCAGTATCACAGTACTCACGCAAATCAATTGAGATTCGTGTGGTGTATATGTATTTTGTGCCTCCGTGTACCAATTCCTACGTGTTAAAATAAATAAATAAGATAGAGTGCTATTTGTAACGTAACTGACATATACTTGGTATGATATCGTTTTTCTATTTCCTGAATTTTAAAAAGTGACCCGAAATTAATCTAAATTTAGTTAGATGCATGAGTTTGTTCCAGTCTAATGTTATTTAAGTTTTTTGGACAAATTAAGCAATGATAGTTAAAGAGCAGAATTAATACACATACATACTTGGTCAGTTGGTTCAAAAGGACCGTAATGTTATCAGAAAATTGTTGGACAGTCGAAACCTATATTTTGGAGATTCGAATTAACCATAATCAGTCAGCTGCAACTTAGGACCAGGCACATATATGCATCGGTCCAAGTTGCCATACCGCATTAGCACAATAAGACGAACACCGGATTCATACAAGTAGTTAATTCAGTGGTGGTAATATATAAAAGAAAGATCGCATATAAGCAGATAGTACAGGAAGAAAGAATTAGTTCGTTGAAATAAAGATATGAAGCAATTTTAATCTCGTAGTTTAAAGGAAGACAGAGAGTGTATACACCGACGCCATTGTGATCGATTCTGAGCCATGTCACCAAGAGTCTCCAACCATTGGTTACGATAGTCACGCGGACCGCAACCAGGCAGTCTGCATCTACCAACATGGCTCAGACCAGAAGTTAGTGACTTCAAGCACTGATGTCACGTTTTAGTTTGGCCGCCCCTAACTTTCTTCCAACAATCCCCTACACTATTCAGCATTGCGCGTCGTAGTGATCGGTGTTCAGGCATACGTAACACGTGACTCAACCATCTCAGTTGATGAAGATTCTCAACCTCATTAACTGATGTACCATCATTCCCTAATACCTTGTGTCTGATCTCACTATTACTTACCCGGTGATCCCAGCAGATGCGAGCAATATTCTAAGGAATCTGTTGTCAAATACTAGTAACTTACGAGTATCTTCTGCTCTTAATGACCATGTTTTGCAGCCGTAAAGTAGAACAGAACGAACTGCCGCGCAGTATACTCAGCCCTTAATTGATAGACGGATATTTCGCCTTCGCCATAGGTGACGTAAGTTGGCAAAGGCAAAACAGGCTTTTCGAATCCGTGCTGAGATTTCGTCAGACACCAACCCATTAGGGCTGATCAGACTTCCAAGATAAGTGCATTTGTCAACGTGTTCGACTACTTCACCCCCTATCCTTAGTTCAGGTGTTGACGCAGACCAGTCCTGAAGCAACAACTTGCATTTAGAGGGAGAGAAATGCATCCCGAACATCCTAACATTGTTGCTCAGTGCTATCAGAGCACTCTGCATTTCATCAGCGTCTTCACCAAACAGGACTATGTCATCTGCGTATTCTAAATCGATAAGTGGACCTCCTGGTATGAGATCAATGCCCGAGAATTCAGTCGATGAGAGTGTTATTTCCATCAGTAGATCTATGACGAAGTTAAACAAAAATGAAGAAAAGGACAGCCTTGACGGACACCACTTGAGGTTTCAAAAGCAGATGCCAGTTCGCCATAAGCTCTGACTCGACTAGTAGTGTTCGAGTAAAGAGCCTTCACAAGGTTTATTTACTTCTGAGGTACGCCTTTCAAAGACAGACACTGCCACAGAACCTCTCGGTCGACAGAGTCAAATGCTGCTTTTAAGTCAAGGAGGACCACCATTGTGGGACGTCGATAAGTATGTCTGTGTTCTAGAACCTGACGAATGGTGAATATGTGGTCTATGCATCCACGACCAGGTCTGAAGCCAGCTTGATTCTCTCGTGTTTGCGGTTCACGAGTCTTAGTTAGGTGTCCGATAATTATTAAGGCTAGTATTTATGATGTTATATTTGTCAAACTAATCTCTCTATGGTTGCCACAGGATGATTTTGATCCCTTCTTATATATTAGAACAATCAGTGATTGTACCAGTCAGATGGAATTACGTCTAACTCCCAGATTCTAGCTAAAATATTAGTCAACCTAATCGCTAAAACTAGTCCACCATTCTTAAAGACCTCTGGGGTCAATCCATCTGGACCAGCTGCCCTTCCTCGTTCTAGATTAAATATAGCCTTTTGAACTTCAGCTAGAGTTGGAGGACCTACTTCAATGTTCCATTCACACTGTCTGGGAATGGTGGGTAGTTGTAGAGTAGCTGAAGGCCAACTGAACTGTTCCTTAAAGTGTTCCGCCCATCGTTTTAAACGTCTGGACTGGGAGCAGATAAGAGTGTCGTCTTTTTATGAGATAGTTTTACTTACACCTGACTTTTTAGTTCGTTTCTTTTATGAGTCTGAAGAGCTGTCTGGTGTTTCCTATAACCACTCCTTTTTTCATCTCTTTTGTTTTCGTTGCCCACCACTGCTCACGATCGTTCCTTAGACTATTGGTTAACCTATATCTGATTTGTTTACGCTCTTCATCGTGTTCAGAGCCTGATGGGATGAGTTTACGCGAATCCATCAGTGCAATAGACCTTGAAGAAATCCATTAGTTCTTTGTAGCCATTTGGTTTAAATCACTACAGTGATCTTGAGTACTGTTAGAGGTATGAGGGTAGTTATCACTTCCCAATTGCCCACACCGTGGAAGGGTTCTCTTGGAGGGACCTGAAAAGAAAATTGGATTAAAGGTGGTCATAGTGACCTGAGGGCGTGACCGCAGCGCCCAAGGGACAGCTGCTTGAGCTCGGTCACACACGACCTCTTTAGGAGTAGTTTTTGTGTTAGCTTCGTACTTGTTGAGACCTTACCGCCGGAGACGGATATCCTTGGGTTAAGGCGAGGTGTGAATTTTTAGGGTCGACCTTTTCTAACCCCACCCCTGCTTGTGGGAAGGCAGCATCGCTGCCATGCTGGTTGTCTGAAGGAAAAACCTTACTGTTGTCACATCTCTGTACAGTCAGCAGTACGATTTCGCCTTCGGACCTTGGATTTGTTGCTTTTAGTCTTACCGCTCTTCAACCGACCTGTCTGGCATGGTAGGACCTTGAGGAACGGTTGTTCCAGCCAGTATAGTTCGGTTGCTTCATCACGATAGGCAATCCCGACCATCTCATCAAGGTAGCAACAACGGTCGGGATTAACCATAATCATAATCGTACATTAAAATATCTTTGATTTTTCAACTTTTATTGTTTAAATAAATAAACAAGAATAGTATATTGGTAACGTTTGTTTAAATTGTCCCATCGTTAATGTTATGGACTGGAGTCGATCATTCTCTCTTTGGCATATATCCATTCTGTGCGGATTGCCTCGACATTGACTGTGAGTACGGGATATTGTAATCAATAAATTGGGAATAAGTTTAGAATGGTAAATCGTATGACGGTGGCCAATAAGCCAAATGAAAGCTTATGATAAAGAGAAAACGAATATATATATATATATATATATATATATATATATATATATATATATATATATATATATATAATGATAGTTCATAAATAAGTCTTAGCAGTTACTATTCATTTATTCTTCGGATATAAAAGTATTGATTTTGATTAATGATCCCCGACATGGAAGCATCTAGAAAGACATTCGTTTAGGTCAGTGCTTCACAATTGCGTTGTGAGTTATATTATGATTATTAACTGCGAATACATTTTGTCGAGTCGCACTATTGCTTACACAGTGTTTCTATGGCATATGAATAATTATTCAAACAGAACACTGATGGAACACAAGAATACTTGTACTAGCACTTTGTATATTCGACTTTTCGAGATGGGCTAACGTTAATATGTTACTAAAGACAATTAATAACATATGTTTTATTTAAAGACTTTGACCCTTAATATACTGTTAGAGTCAATTAAGACTAAGTGAATGTTCTCTTTACATTTTCCTGTAATTTTGTTGTCCGTATCCATGTTATGGTTTATGTTTTTTTATCACCCGCCTAATCAAATTGTTTTATCTGTTTGCGTCATAGGGTGATGTTCCAGCAGCTCGTTCTATTCTAGCTCGTGCATTTGAAGCTAATCCCAATTCAGAGGAGATATGGTTAGCTGCTGTAAAACTTGAATCAGAAAATAAAGAATATGCACGTGCACGTCGTTTACTAGATAAAGCTTGTGCTTCTGCTTCTACAGCTCGTGTATGGATGAAAGCGGCTAGATTGGAATGGTGTTTGGGTGAATTAAATAAAGCTTTAGAAATGTTAGAAAAAGCTACATCAACATATAATCAGGCACCAAAGCTGTGGTTAATGCTTAGTCAAGTTTATGAACAGTTGTCAGAAGAAGGCTTAAAACCGAATGAGGTTGAATCATTAAAAGAACGTGCTAGAAACACCTATCGCGAAGGAGTAAGTACTGGTTTCGTTTAATGTTTGTACGTCATTGTGTGTTTACTGCTTTAAAAATAGTTTCGTGTAAAATTACGTTTCTGTTTTTCATCGAAAGCGCCTGTACAATCTTCCTTTTGCTAAACTATACTACAAACGTTGTTGGAGTTCCATTCCATGTAGCTTCATGAATTTGTTATTTTTAAATCATCTGTTCTAATTGAATTTATCGATAACCAAGATCTAGGACTTTAAACAGGTAATCTAGTTCGTGTCTTATCGTGAATTCTATGTTAGAATAAGATTTGTCTAAAAATTTTTGTAGATGAAATGCATTGAGCATCATCTACATATCTATCATAGGATTTTGTTTCCTCGATTAAATGCTTCGCTTTGCATCCCTTCATAATTGATCATCTGTAAAATTGTCACTTAGGATCAGTTCCAAACATCTGTCCGCGGCATGTTAATCAACTCGAGAATATGGAAAATGTCACACCCAAAATTTTTTAGCTTCCGTAATAGCACCAGTTTATTTTTAGGCAATCTTGCGACAATTTCAAGAATTTTTTTTCAAATGAAGATTATGTATCAAGACGATACCGTAAACTGTTTCCTATATCAATGTGGCAATTTGGGAATCGATAAATTGATCACAAATTATATTGGTTATTTCGAAACTATTCGTTAGGATATGGAAATAAAGTAAACACAATTCATGTGATTACAATTTCAACCCATATGCTAGATTTTATGTGAACAAATAACATGCTTTATTACTACTTCTGACAACATTCTAGTGCTTATTATCAATTCATACTTAGGTTTGTTAAATATTTGTTTGTTTCCTTTCGTCAAGTGATATTTCATAATGTTAAAAGATAGCATAACAAAAGTTCCTTTTGGTAACAGTTGAATTGTTGTTAAAATTTTATTGTATACTTCTATCTATTATTGCGAACATGTTTCTTTCTATACGACAAGAACTATTGTACTAAGTTATGATAACTGATATTTCTAACATTCCTTTTCACGTATTTTTCATAAAAAGCTGAATCATAACCCACATTATACTGCTCTGTGGTTGCAGTTGGCCAGATTTGAAGAACGACAAGGTAACTTAACTAAAGCACGTTCCATTTTGGAGAAGGCCCGTTCACAAAATCCTAAAACACCAGAACTGTGGTAAGTAGTATTCAACCAACACAAATCTCAAATAATGCTCACAATAATTACGTATTTAATTATTTTTACAAACGATATTTATCTGAAAATTCGATTACATTCATAATTCATTTCACTTAATAGACAAATTACGACCATTTGTTCTCAAGTTCGAAGCTCACTCTACTCAGTCAGATTTAGGTAATTGATTAATGCCTCTAACTGTTACACAACATGAAGTTGTGCAGCCTAAACATAGTACTGTATTATATATTTATTTGTTGACTTACATTATAAAAATACCATTCACTTAACTTTTCAATGCATCTAGGTCCAAGGTTTTATAGAACTGACTTCATTTTCTAAAATCGGGTTGGATGATCATATATTTATTTCTTTACTAGCAGATAGTATTAATTTCTTCAAAAAGCTATCTAAATTACGATTCCTACCTTCATGCATCCGAAAGAGGTACATAAGAATTACCTTACGATTTTAAGGTACAAATTTGTAGATAAAAAACAAATTAGACATAGAATATTTTTTCTTACCTGAACAACACTGAACAGATAAAATACATTTCATCATTCGTAAGATGTTGTAGGTGAATAATGTAAATGATCTGTGTCGAATGATTAGCGGCCAGCTAACGTCGCGGTTAGTACCTAATGTGAATTACTCCTTTGTCGTATCCAGGTACGTTGTCTGCTGTTTGATGGCTGTACAACACAAACGACTTTATTACATAGATATATTAGTAAGAGTAGGTGCATAGAAGCGAGTGTGACCACCACCTCACGTACCGCTCCACGACGTGCGATTAGCGGATGCGCGTTGGTTGTTCCTGACCTTGACGAGGACCGGTGATCTGTTCGACATTCAGTGACTTAACTGGAGGAGCGATTTGGCTAGGACTCAGTGACATTTCTCTGGTCCTACAGTGTAAACAGTACACAATATTTTTACAGACTGATAGACAGAAATACCGTACAATGACAGTGTTTCGTTCCAAGGTACCATACATGTACCACAATTAAAAAACCAAAAAGAAATAGAAGGAACACGAAAACTATTATAATACCAAACTAGCAATCAATTTTTCGAAATGACCATCCGAACTTTAGGTGATAAACATCTTTATAAGGTGTACTAAATTAAATTTACGTATGTTAAGGATTAATCTACATATAGACTGTAGAATCTAAGTCCTACAGTAGTATTTCATATCAATATTTCTTAGTTCTTTCTGAATCTTCAGTATGTACTTATTTCAGTAACATGAGTTTAGAAAATGCTAATTAGCTGAATTCATACTTAGATACCCATTTGGTTATGAAAACCATCATTTCAATTTGTATTATGGAGATTCCTTGACAGGTTTTTTTTAGCTAGACGGTACTATGGCTTTTTTTACGTTTTCAGCAATTCGTCAATGGAAATCACTCCTTCATAAAAACTCAAATCATGCTGCTCAGTTGAATTTGTTGACATCTTTCTTGATACTGTATTAGACTGTTCACTGGTTATGTAATGCTCGAAATATTTTTGATTTTATTAGGTTGGAGGCTATCAGATTAGAAGTAAGAGCTAATTTGAAACCTGTAGCTGATTCACTTCTTTCAAAAGCACTTCAAGAATGCCCAACATCTGGTTGTTTATGGGCTGAGGCAATATTTATGACTCCTAGAGCTCAGCGTAAAAGCAAATCAGTGGATGCTTTAAAGAAGTGTGAACATGATCCACTGGTTCTTCTAGCTGTATCCAAGTTAGTTTCTGTGATAAAAATTTTTCAGACTACTTGTAGCCCTAGGGTGGTTTAGTTTCTGTCATTTTATCAATGGTGTTGGTTTTTCTGATAACCTGATAATTATTGTCTTCTATTCTATGAAGTTTCTTAGTGTCTGTGACAAACTAACTATAAAAGAACTTGAATATTTTCATTAACAGTTCTTATATCAGTAATGGCATAATGCGAAAACTTGTCTGGAATTCACCATTGTGTAAATACGGTATTCTGTGTCGAAATCATACAGTTTGATTGATGGGATGAATCATAATTAAGTTGCAAAGTAAATTTCTTCTCGTTGCTGTGGCCTGATTATATCACACCTTTGATTTGAAATCGTAGTATTGCTACAGTACTCATTGCATATCACGCATTTTAAATTATTTTCTCTATTAAACCACACAGTTTCAAGGCCAAATATATTCTCACTTCCAGCCACGGTTTTAATTTCTGTCTAACGTTGTTATCCTTCTTAAAGTAGTCTGTCTCTAAATCTGCCGCACTAAAAGTTATTGTTTGTTTGTAGTTACTGCGTTTTCATATACTAAAAGACTTAACCTCAATGTATATACTGGTTTGAATAGGAAGAATTTTCAATGTATTACTTTTTCTCTAACTGTAAGGAACATGTTGGTGATAGATTGAATTCTCCATAAAGTTTTATCTTTCGGGTAGTATGATTAAACTGTACTGATCATTATCATAATGGTATGTTATCAACTTTCCCTCATCATTGTCAAGTTTACAAAGTAGTCAGTATTTGAACTATTTAGATAGTGAAGGTTTGTTGCTCAGGCGAACAATTTTTGCAGTTTCTGTGAGCTGGATCCAGCTGAGAAAATGAAACAATCAAAACTCGAATTACTACCTTTTATAGTACTCAAAGATTTTTCGTACATAGATAATTTGTCAATATATTTGGGACAAATAAAGTGTTAGTACGTTTTAATAACCAGTAATGTAATCATAAAAAAAATACATTTTGAATTACATTTGACAATCCCATTTTATTTCTCACCACTTGTATTAAGTAAGAAAAACATATTATCCTCAGTTCTGACTTCTTTTTGTCTAACTTGGATAACCTTAGGTGTTTTCAACTGTTTCAACTCGTTGTTAAGTTCTAGAATATCACTTATCCTGAAACCAATGACTTAAAGTTCTATCTGATGATTAATTAAGATGTAAGGGCATATGTAGGTATAACTTAAAAATGAAAGTAGATAACACTCTTGTCCATAGATCAATGGAGACTGTCCACAATCCCCTATTGGTTTAAAGAACTGGTTGGAACCTAGAACTCACAGAGTATGGTGATGTTGAGATTAACGTTCTCATTGAATGTATCTATCTATCTATCCATATATATATATATATATATATATATATATATATATATACTGATATTTCTCTGTCTAGTATAGACTCTGACCTAAAACTATCGTATAATTAACAGGGCTTGGCTTTTAGTTTCATAACAGAACATTACTGCATTTCATAATTTACCAGTGAATTCAAGTTACTGAGTTATGTCCTTAATATAGAAACTTAAGGTATCATGGAATATTGAAAGCCTAATGATTCCTAGCTATTCTAAAATGCTGTTACTCATAGGACATTTCAGAAACGTTTAGAAATCAAGCCTATTATTAGTTTAAAGTTCAACTGTTTACCCGTTTGACCTTAAGCAACACCTCAGCTGCATTCGAAATCCAGCGGTATATCAACTTTTATGTACAGAAACTGCTTGAAAGAAACTAATTACTTGAATTGGTATTTGTTCTATTTTTATGGGACGAAACTATTTGTTGAACCTGTCATATTCACACTAATAACGGTAGTTTCCAGTTTGATAATCATGTCATAGTTAAAACTCAGAGGAAAACAATCAGACTTAGTGATTGTACAGAGAAAAGCAATTGAAAAAGTGATCAGGACAAATGGTTGTAATCGGGTGGCTTCCCTCTCCATCAAAGTTATTTTTAGATGAACAAGGTCTTATGAGAAGAGGATGTCAATAATCCATAAACTTCGATCAATATTTCACCCCATCACAAACTTAGTTTTTTTCTAAGGATTGTTATACTCTGCTGTTTTAGAATGTTTTGGTGTGAACGACTGGTCATGAAAGCTCGTAATTGGTTTACAAGAACAGTGAAACTAGAACCAGATCTTGGCGACGCATGGGCTTACTTTTACAAATTTGAATTACAACATGGGACGGAAGTGAGTTCAATAAGTATTTTTATATTTCATTAATACTGTCTTATAATTACACTTACATAAACAATAAACTAGATTAAGTGCTTAGTAATCGAAATACTCAGCTTTAAGAATGAAGTTTTAGGTTAAAATCCTACATCGTCTTCCTCCTGATAATATCGCCATACCTCAAGCAAAAGGTATAACTCAAAGCTGAGTAGATAAATTTGGACTGTGTCAGAGTTACACTACATTTAATTAGTTTGGATTTTGTGTTTACAAACAGATTAGCACTAATCATGTCAACTTGTGTATCAAAACGTTTGATAAGCTTAAAGGCTAGTTATACATTGAGGCATTAATTTTTCTGTTAATCAACATCATAAGTTCAGACTGGACGCCAAGCATAGCTTATAGTATAGGATATGATTGTGTACATAATTAATGTTCTATAGTTGATACAGTATCAATAACTTCGGGACTTTATCTTGATTTCATTTTGTTTAGGATCAACAGAAAGAAGTATACCGACGTTGTGTTACTGCAGAACCTCATCATGGTGAAGTATGGTGCCAAATCAGTAAAGATCCTAAGAACTGGCGACTAAAAACAAAAGATTTATTAAAAATTGCAGCAGAAACAATTGTTTTACCAAGTTGAATTTGTGTGCTTCGATTCTATATTTGTATAATTCTTGCAAACAGACAAAATCTGCAGCGTATGTTGTGTATCGTAAAAGTCAGTAATTACTATCAGCCAACTTTCAGCATTTGTTACACGTAAAGGACAACTCATTTTCGTTTTAGACATCATGTTTGATTTAATAAAAAGCTTAAGATTTATTTAATTTCTACTTAATCGAACATACACAGTTTTATAATTGTTTTCAGTGATGATAGTCAGAAATGCATTGGAGGCAGTTTCTTCACTCCACTTGTTTTACTTCCCAGACCATATTTAGAATTAAATGTTCGATTTCTGCGTAAAGAAAAATTAATTGTCAATGGTTAATAAGATATTTTAAAACATTACGAAATCACAAAATATATTATTAACTATGTGCCCAGTGTGTTCTGTAAATATAGCAAAGTAACTTGTAATCATGCATATATATGTCTAGGTAGTCAAGATACTTGACTCCCACTCACTATTTTGTACGTTCTAATACTTTACGTAGCTTTTGATTGGATGATGAAATGGCAGTATTATAATTGTAAGCACAGTCTCGGCTTGCCAATTCACTAGACAAAATTGTATATATATATATATATATATATATATATATATATATATATATATATATATATATATATATAGCTGAAAGCTGGATATGATTTACTGGTAAGCGTAATTAAAGCAACTCTTGAATACATCCATAATAATTGGGACAACTTTGCTGTTTTGTTCCTTGGAAAATTCAGACTAAATGTTGAATAATGTAGTCTTTATTATACCATTTCACTTTTTTCCTGTGGTTGCAGTTTTATTCTATAGTAGTTAACAGTTACACATATAACCCTACCTAATGTGTGAGGGTTGACCGCATCGCATATCTATTTAAAATTCTCAATGAGCATTCCAAATTATCTGGTGTCCACCAGCTCATCGGGTGTATCTCATTCAATGTCATAAAAGTTACAGTTGTGTAATGAGAGTATATGTTATTGGTACTGCTATATCCTGTGATTAATGCTGTTTTCATTTATACTCTCGTAAATAAGTGTGACTGTGGAAGTTGTCGGAGCTCTCAATACATACATTGACTTCACTTTTTACTCTCATGGGCATATAAAGACTTCCATTATAAAGCGAAATCATAGTATTTTTCCGTACTTATCGCAGGAATAAAGTAAAAATGCATTTTTTTTTGTGTAATTAGCTTCCACTTGTTACTTGCATATACTGTTGATACAGTTAAGAATATCACCACTTAGCAGTCTTATTTCAATCGATACACTATTTCATAATCTTCTTTATTGATGTCGATACTAGTCTTGTGTTTACTACGCTATGATTTTAGACCAAATATCAGTTCATTGAATAATAAATTCAAAGAATATCATATTTTTACAGAAACATAAAAAAATACAGTGAAATGTATATCATGTCGCCGTAATCTTAGCACAAACTAAACCTACTGTGTCTTCCTCACTAGTTTATCACTTTCATCTTCTTTCTTCTCCACAGGATGCTTACTTACTGGTGCTGGTATATATGTATAGTTTAATTCAATGAGTGCGCGTTTTCGAATTTCCGTAGCCCAGTAATAAGCCTAAAATACGTTAGCAAATCAAACTCTATTGTTGTTATTCATCCGTATTACGGAATTTATAGTAGAAATTAAGTAAATTTAATTTACCTTTAGAAATCATAAGTCTCCTGGAGATGACTTTAAGAGGTTTGTAGAGTTAAGGGTTTGTCCTTTGTTTTCATGGGCTATAATACTTGAAAATTAAAATACTCTAATCCTATTTATTTGTATGACTACATCTTTTCTACGGTCAGGAAATAGTATTATTCGTTTTCTCACAACAATATTGAGTTTGTCCTTCGCTGCTTAGTACACCGTTGTTATTCGAAATGTTTGGTAAAT